CAGATTAGACACCTGTGATGCTGACTAGTGGACACACCTTGATCGAACATTTCCATTTGGTCACATTATTTTCAATCTCTTCAAGGGGAACCATTATTTTATTCCAACCATGCTTTAAGACACATTTTTAAATCATTCTCTTAAAATCTGGTTGAAAACAGTTTCATCTTTTCATTTTCACAGATTTTTTTATTTACTTTTTTCAGATTCTAGTTATTTCTGTGAGCATTTGGATTTTTCTTTCATTAAATGAGGACCAACAATTTGGTCCATTTGTGTTTAAATAAAAATATTTAGACATATATATCTGTAACACCATCAGACTGAGTCAGTAGACAGATTCAATCAGCAGATCTGATTCTTTTATTCAGGTTTCTCCAGCAGAACATTACATTACAGATGTTCTTAGGGTTCTGGTTTCCATGAAGGCCACTCTGCTAGAGAACTTGTCCGAATGTTTGGACTTTCTTCCACTTCCAGCTTTTAAAACCCGGTTCTCAGACTTTTGGTCTCATATCTGGGTTCCAATTCTTTTCGCTTTTTGGTCCCGTTCCTGACCCGTTAGCAGAGACGGATCAGCACCAGCCGCTTCAGACCAAGGAGATGAAATCCTGTTTCTACCAGTTCTTTACCTTGGGTTAGAAAAAAGGTACATGAAACCCACTATTAAGCACAGAGAAGGATGGGTGATGCTGTGGGCCTGTTCTTTTTAGAGAGCGGGTTGTTATGGACTCTTTGAAACACCAGGACATGAAACCTGTAGATCTCTTCCAGATGATTTCATTCTTTTTATTATCAGTAACACCTGTCCACCAGCAGGGGGTGTGCATCCAGATAATGAGATAACAGATGGGACTGAAGGAACCGTTTCCATGGCAACACACTGCAGATAGACCTGCGGGAACATCTTCTAGAGAGGTGGTTCTGAGCCATTAAAACCAACATTTTATTAGAACTGATTTATAGAAACTTTAATTTCCTAAAAACATTTAACATATGAACATATGGACCTTAAATTCACCCGCTTTTTTTTATTTATATATATATATATAAAAATAGCACCTGATGCAAGGATACGGCGGCATATTAAGGGCATTCAAAGACGAAAAAAAAAAAGAAATTGGAATTCAAATTTTTTAGTTTAAAGTGGCCTTTTTAAGAGAATAAACACGCAAATTTACCAAATTAAAACACACAAATTAAAAAACTTACAACACACAAGTTTACGAAATTAAAACACTTGAAACCACTCGAATTAACGAAATTGAAACACTTGAATTTACGGAATTAAAACACTCGAATTTACGAAATTGAAACACGCAAATTTACGAAATTGAAACACTCGAATTTACGAAATTAAAACACTCGAATTTACGAAATTAAAACACTTGAATTTACGAAATTAAAACACTCAAATTTATGAAATTAAAACACTCGAATTAACAAATTAAAACACAAATTAAAAAACTTAAAACACACAAATTTACAAAATTAAAACACTTGAATTTACAAATTGAAGCACGCAAATTAACGAAATTAAAATGCTCAAATTAAAAAAATTAAAACACACAAATTTACGAAATTAAAACACTTGAATTTACGAAATTAAAACACTCGAATTTATGAAATTAAAACACTCGAATTAACAAATTAAAACACAAATTAAAAAACTTAGAACACACAAATTTACAAAATTAAAACACTTGAATTTACGAAATTAAACCACTCGAATTAACGAAATTGAAACACTCGAATTTACGAAATTAAAACACTCAAATTTACGAAATTAAAACACTCGAATTTACGAAATTAAAACACTCGAATTAACAAAATTGAAACACGCAAATTAACGAAATTAAAACGCTCAAATTAAAAAAATTAAAACACACAAATTTACGAAATTAAAACACTTGAATTTACAAAATTGAAACACGCAAATTTGCAAAATTAAAATGCGCAAATTTACAAAATTAAAACACTAAAATTTACTAAATTAAAAGACGCAAATAACAAAATTAAAACACAAATATGAGAAAAAGTAGAAAATGAAAAAGATAACAGGAATTTAGGAGAAAAAAGTAACAAATTTGCACGATTTAAACATATACATTTTGGGAACAATGTGAGATAAAACATGTTAAAGCATGCTACATAAAGCACATGCAAATGCATCATTAGGGGCTTTACGATGAAATGAGCAGTAATGGCCTCCTCATACAAGTTTTTAAAGTACAAATGAATGACACAATAAATTAGCATATTTATAATCTCGTAATTTGCATGTTTTTTTGTAAATTTGTCTAATTATTCTCGTACATTTGCTAGTTGTTTCCTTTTAAATTTGCATGTTAATAATCTCGTAAATTTTGTTTTTTTTTATTCGTAAATTTGCTTGTTTATTCTCATAAATATGCCACTTTAGACTCAAAAATTTAAATTCCAATTTTTTCCCCCTGTCTTTGAATGGCTCTGATACGCTGTCGTACAAGGAGAAGCAGGAGAACCTGATCAGAGAGTCTTTGGTTGCGGTCCGGGGAGTTCTACGGAGGTCCTGAAGGGTCACACAGAGTTTTTCTATTTAAGGTCTGAGGAACGTTTCCAAATAAAGTTCAAACATCTGAGAAGAACTTCAAACATCCGTCTGAAGGATGGAAAACCGGCCGTATGGAAGTTGCAGGTTGGAATGGAAGTTCTTCTGGATTTCAGTTCCTCTGATTCATTATGGTATGGAGGGACTTTTGTTCCATTTTTGTAAAAAAAAAAAAAAAAAAAAACTAACCAAAATTTATGAAAAATGCTAAGTTTTGATAAAAATAAAAAGGTTTTTTAAAGTAACTTTCATAGATTTTATATTGTCAAATTATTTAAAAAAATATTCGAGAAAAATATAGTTGGAAATAAAATCTGAGAGAAAATGAAAGTGGTTAAAACATTTTTCAAAGTTTCTTTTAAAAAATGTTTTCTTTGCAACAATAATGGAATAAAATTCCCCCCATATTAGGCTGGTTTGGTCCGAGCAGAAATGAAGAAGGTTTAAAAGAGGAACTGAAGGTTTCTGATGATTCTGGATCAAAAAGCAGCTGAAGCCTGAACAGAACCAAGAAGGATCCGGCCTCCGGACCCAGATCATCACTTATAGGACATTTGCTCAGCTTCATTCTTCCTCCTGGAGGAACAACTCGGATGGTTTGGTGATGATTCCGTTTATGTTTGTTGTGTTTTCTTGTAGCTGCGTTTCAGACGATGAAGATTTTCTTAAGCGGGAACAAAGATCTTCACAAACAAATTTCTTTTTTTGCGGATCTGAAGGAACCTTTGCTGGAAAACCTTCTCAGCGTGACCCTTCAGGAGCCCCGTAGACGGTGAAGCAGAAAACGCCTTCTGCTGGTGACATGCAGTCCTGCGGGTTCTCCTGCAGCTGAGACCTTCGTCCTCCTCATAGAATCTGCTTCAGACACAGCTTCTCGCAATCCCCCTTTGTCTGGAAGCGGTTGGCGTTCCCATCGCAGCCGCCGAACCAGAAACGCTGGCACTCGTTCTGCTTGTTGTCAAAGAACCACATGACGGTGTAGTCCTGGCAGCTGCCTGGATCCTGGTTGAGGAGGCAGGCGTCTGCATGGAGAGAAGCACCGTTAGAGACCGTATGAATGCAGAAATCACTACTGGTGATCATGTTATTAGAGCCTCTGGAAAACTGGGTCGGCTTTAATGGTCCAGAATCGGACTGGGTTAAATCCTACTAAAGACAGGAACTCACACTGCAAAAAATAGAAATCTAAATAAGTCATTTTTTCTTGTATTGAGGTAAGTGAGACTATTTCCCTATGGAACAAGAATACATATAGAATAAGAAAAAAAAACATTTTCATTGTCTTATTTGAGGTTAATTTATCTAATTATCTTATTTTAAAGTAAATATGCTAATTCCATTGGGAAATAATCTTATTTACCTGCTCAAATTAAGGCTAAATACCCTTAATGTAAGAATTGTTTACTTATATATATAGATCCTTTTTGTAGTGCAGTAGGTAACTTCTGGACTTTTAAATAAAACTAATTTCAATTGTTTACATAGCTTTAGATTGCTCCGGGCATATGGCCCACAGGCCCATAATCCAGCGGACTTGCCAAGCAGCACACGCTGCAGGAGGAGGAGCAAGCGAAGGCAGAGTGACCAGCTGCGAAAGCGCCGCTGTCGAGATGCTAACAGCAAAGCTAAAAGCAAACCGCTACAAACCGCCGCTCGCTTCAATCCTGCCTTCCAACGTCCGCTCACTGGACAACAACATGGATCATCTTCAACTCGAACTCTCTTCTACGGAAGCATATTGATGACTAAAATGAGTGCAGTGATGGACTCAGACCTGAACCTTCAGAAACTCATAGAGACGAGCAGAAAGTGGACCTTCTATCACCTGAAGAACATCTTCAGGATCAAAGGACTAAAGTTGGAAAAACTACTTCCTGTTTCATTCATCTGTAGAAGAATTGATCCCTGCAGCAACGTCTCCACAGGTCAGCCTCACTAGAACTATAGAAACTAGATCATAGAGCTGCAGCTGATCCAGACTCTGCTGCCTGCGTCCTCACTAGAACTATAGAAACTAGATCATAGAGCTGCAGCT